ATTAAATGCTAATCAAGGTGGCTAACTGCAATATTCACACTTGCCTCAAGCAGACAAAAGTTCTTTTTCCCACCCTGGACATTCCACAGATAGATAAACTTCACTTACTTAGTTTCCAACAGACCTCACAACCTCTGAGGATGCCTGCCATAGATGTGGGTGAAACGTCAGGAGGGAATGCTTCTGGAACATGGCCATACAGCCCGGAAAACTCATAGCAACCCAAAAATAAAAATATTTTGTAAAAAGGTGATTCCGTATCAGGAGCTGTAGATGACATTTTATATTTACTCTGTAAATCATTTAATGAGGAACTATCTTAAATGGTTATTTGTGTCCTAGTTATTTTACCATCACAGAGTCATAGAACCATAGAGTTGGGAGCAATTTTATGGACCGTCTGGTTCAAATTCCTGCTCAATGCAGTCTGTCTCTTTTTGAGGATGTCCAGAGAAAGAGACACCACCACTCCTCTAGGTAGCTGCTTCTACTGCTGAACACCTCTTACTATCAAGAGATTTCTTCCAATATTCATTCAAAATCTCCTGTCCTAGAACTTCAAACCACATTAGATCTCACCTTAACCTTTGGGAGAGCAGAGTCTTCCCCTTCTTCTCCATGATAACCCTTGAGGCATTAAAGGGGGCAGTTGTGTCACCCCTCAGTTGTCTCTTTGCCGGGGCGAACATGGCCACTTCCTTCAGTCTTTCCTCATATATTTTGTTCTCTATTATATCTCTAATCATTCCTGTTATCCGTCTCTGAACCTGCTCCAACTTAAAATGAGGCAACCTGTGCTGGTATGGCTGTACCAGGAGCTCCTACTTAATTTTCTTTCTATCGAGTGTTTGCATGTATTCCAAGGTTCCATGCATTTTGCAATAAGGTGGTTTCCCTTGCTCTGCAATTATAGGGCCAATGACCCGTCAATCATCATTGTGTTCTTTAGTTCCGCCCCTTTCCCCAGGGCTCTGGGAGGGAAAAGAAAGACTTCAGGCAGTCTTTCAGTTTTGGAAGCCCAGTTACAGGACGTGAGCTTTCCCCACCTGTAGAGAAGCTTCGTTTCTCACAACATCCGGGGGAAAGAGCAGTGAAGCTTCTAAGGAAAACAGTTTTACAGCACAACCCTTGTTGGGGTTAAAGATACAGATCTACATCATTCGTGGAGAAAATCCAAAAGGACTACAGCTGGAAAATCTACAAGGTCTTGGCTGGTAGGTCTACTTGGGTAACCAGAAGCAATTGGAGCCGGGAGTAGGGCCCACACCAGCAGAGCCTAGAGAACAGATTGCCCGGGAGGGGTCAAAAAGGGTTTTCCTTGTTAAAGAAAGAAATAGTTCTCCAAGCAAGGTGACCACCAGTTGATTCAAAGCCTTGAAGCATTTGTTTAATTTGTTGAAGATCTAAGAAGTATTTAATTGTTTGCTGAAGACTTAAGCAATAATAAAGGACTTTGTTAAACCTTTCAAGCTTCTAAAGACTCTGTATAGGAAAATCTTTGGGCCTCTCAGTTGAGGCACTCCGGCTTCCCGCTGGGCACAAAGAGCACATCCTGTTCAAAAGCCAACTGCTATAGGCCCAGTACGAGACAGCACACAACCAGAACTATATCCCTCTTAAAATTAAGCAACCAGAATTCAGTGTAGTACCCCAGATGAGACTTGGCCAACGCAAAATATAGTGGGACTATATTGACTGTACTTTTGTATGTGATTCAAGAAATCACAAGGCCATAGAAGCAAAAGAAATGTGGGCTTCGGATATGTGTTTCAGAAGAAGGCACAATATGTACTTGTTCAATGCACCATCCAGCTTTCTTTCTTTGTGTTGGACTGTAAACATTAATATGATTAGCATTGTATTTCTTCCTTGTCATGTGTGCCTTCAAATTTATTTATTTCTGTCACTTTTACACCGTCCTTCTCACCCCCAAGGCAGGACTCAGGGCGGCTTACAGAGAAAGGCACAATTCGATGCCTTGTCACATATACATACATATATAAAAGCAATTAAACAATTACAAATTAAAAATTAAATCATCAATACAAAACGATACAATAAACACAGTAGTAGGCTAATCCTGAGCTCAGCGTTGGCCCATGATGGCCCATGAAAACGATAGATTTTATGCTTAAGAATGGGGTGATGGTTCCCTTCTTTGTTATGCATTTTTCTTGTCATGCAAATATAATACACAGTAATAATAACTGTATGAGAAGTCATGAACAATTCCAATCTCTTTACTGTTTTTATTTATGTTACTTATACATAAATTGATATTGTTTTTAATCATTTAGCATTGTTTAACAGATGTTGCAGACAGACTGTTTTCACATATTAATGTTGATGGATTACATATCCCATTAATCCTGGCCAGCATAGCCAATGGGGAGGAACGTTGAGAGATGCAGTATGCATCTGAGCATGCAGTTTATTCACACATTCATTTACTTCGCAGCAGTTCTCAAATGCAATACAGAACAAAGTTCCTGAGCATTACTAGGAGGCATAACAAACAGTTAAACATAACTTCTACAGCTCCACAAAGAAATGAGCAGCAACATTCTGCTCTAATTCAGGTTTGTGAGCTGTCTTCAAAGGCAGCCTTCTATGACTTCGGTAACCCAGCCTATGCTTGTTGAAACTCCATAAAATTAGAAAATATATTTGTCATGCAGTATTTCTTGCACTTATGCAATTATCTGCATGCAATGCCACAATATTGTAGGAGTGAGAATGCCCACATAATTGTGGATTCTGCCTATCATGGTAGGGACAGTATAGGAAATTAAAGTGGCAATTTTGGCCTCAGAGATTGTCCATTCCCTTTGCTGAGATGTCAGGTCTGAAAACATGTTACTGGAGCCTTGAAAAATCAAAAACTTTCTCAACTCTCCACAATGTTGTAAATCTCACCCCATTCCTACCAATTTCCCCAAAATATTTGCTCAGTCATTCCATATAACTTTCTGCCATGTAGTCTTAGTGACCGCATGCAAAGAAGAGCAGGTCACTTAGCACAATTGTACCACGTGTGGATTCCCTGGACTGAATCTACACTGTCATATAATTAAGATTATCAAAGCAGATAATTCAGGTTATCTGCTTTGAACTTGGTTATATGAGTCTACATTGCCATATAATCCAGTTCAAAGAAGATAATCTGGATGTTATATGGCAGTGTAAAAGGGGCCAGAGAGACATGGGGTACTAAATGTCAATGATCTGTACTTCAGTTTGCCCAGCTTATAATGATGAAGGCTAAAAACATCAGTGACAAAATCAGGCGGATATAATACAACCCCTTTGCCACAGGAAGCAAGATCTCATGGTGTTCAGTGACATCCTGGCCCTTATCTAGAGCCAAGCGTTTCTTGTTCTGTTGCAGCTCCCCATCCAGATGTTTCAGAAATGCCAGGCTGTCTGCGAGAGTGCTGCTTTCTGCCAAGGGAAACGGAGTGCCCTGATCATTCCCTTTAGGGACTTCAGATCCTGTGCGGAAGAAAAGGAGGAGAAGCTTTGAAAATGTGACAGGAAATGATGGCCTATCCTGTTGAGAGTTCTTAAAGTAGTAGACCTATTCAATACATGGAATTTACTATTGTGTTGACTCACAAATTAATATTTGATTGAATGTATTTACTCTAGTTGGGGGTAACCAATAGGATACCAAACTATATCTGCCCATCCCTAACACCTGAGAATTAAAAAAATAAAATTACTCAGCTCAAGACTGGTGCAAGACTTCTTGTCTAAGAACATGTAGTGCTGTGATACAGGGCAGATATAAAAATATTCTGAGCAATTTAAGGCTCTGTATTAGTGATGTGGGTGGGGCCAAAGATACATTCTTGTCTTTATGTCATTAATAACTTTTCAATGACTTTAAAGCATGCATATTTTTACTGCAATTTCCAGTATGAGAGGGTATATCAGACCTTTGACAAAACTTTTACATTTTTACACAAGGAACGATATTGGACGTCTAGGCATACAGATTCCATGTAACTACATTGGGTTTACAAACAACTTACACTTATATTGGGTAACTAACAAACAAAAGAGGTTTACATTTTCATTCAGCATTCACACACATATAAACATGCATTCACCCTCATGCATACATCACCATTTTTCCTCTGTCATCTCCTGGAGAAGAATATCTCTTAGACCAGGCCCCACTTTCCCTCCAGCCTGCTAATGATAGTTCCAAAATTTCCATAGTGCCAAAATTCCAAAATGCCAAAACTTATTTCCCTAAGCACAATAGGAAGGACCGGATCTCTGTTTTCCATGCAGCAGAACCTGACTCCCTGCAAATGTCTGTCACATTTTGAGAATTATTAGATTGAGTCTTTTATGTAGGAATATTCTACTGACTGAGTCCCAAAGATATAAATTAATGATAGATGTTTTATAGGGTTAGCGATATTACATGAAAGTATGCTTGCTACTATTAGACTGTGACAAATAAATTACTCATACAACCTCTTTATTCACTGAAACTGTTAAAAGTATTTGTGGTATTTATGTGAAATATATTGCTATAGATTGTGTAGGGCATTAATTATCTTGAATTTTTTTGGTGCATGAATGTGAATGTATGTGTTTGTATGTATCGTATTCTTTATTGATTTTTATTGTTTTTATAAGATTTGTAATGGCTTTTAGTCCAATACAACAAATGATTGACTGACTGAAACTGATGTGAGAGTTAGAGTTCTCTGCTAGTGCCGTAATACAGGAGAAGAAGACAGACCAAAATCACAGGTTTCCATGGGAAGGAACCATGCCAATTATTCCAGTATAAAACTACTGTAATTCTGCGGTGTGGATTCATCTTCATGTACAGCTCTTTTAGTCTGAAAAGGGGATACTTTCCCATTTTGTCTAAGAGGGAACGTTTTAAAAATTGAGTGAAGAGCACTCATTCGTATTTCTCAACGGCTCTGAATTTGCATTTTTCTGTAATTTTTATTTACCTGTTGATTAATGCTTACCCAAGTAGGTAACAGTGTCCTCAGATTCCCTTTTCTCATTTCTTTTAAATTTATTTACACGTGCTACCAAGGATGGGAGCTTTAGCTTCTTCTCACCAAAATACACCTCAAAAGCATTCTCTAAAGTGCCGAAGACCAGAAGCATGAACATGCCGGTGAAAAACTTTGCTATATCAAGGAAGAAACAGAAGTGGTGAAAATGAACAGATATCGTATCATGAGTAACAATGTGAAGAGGCAAAAACCTTTGTGGAGATAAGGTGGCCTGTCATTTAGAAAATATTCATGATGATGATCATGTTCTCCCCTGGAATTCGTAACTCACGAGCATCTACTTAGGACCTCATCAGATGGAGTGGGAGGAAACGAGAAAAGTGGAGGAAAGCAGAGGGAACCATCTTAATCTGTTCCCTTCCACCTTTCCCTGTCTTCAGGGATGACCACCCGTCCACTTGCATACAGCGCCTTTTCCTGTCTTCTCCTCGCTTTACCCTGTCTTTCTCTATTGGATTCAATTGATATCCGACTCCTGATAGAGGTCTTTGGGCTCCCTTTCCATGTACAAGGAAAACAGAGTCCCACAGAGTCCCACCGGAAGTGCCCTTATATCATCTGATGGTCTCCGGGAGACTCCCGTGGGGCTCCATTTCCCAAGCACATGGAAAAGGAGCCAGAAGACTGTGAACTAAGTCTGTAGTGTCTTTCTCCAAACCAGGCATCCTCAAACTGCGGCCCTCCAGCCATTTGGGCCTTCAACTCCCAGAATTCCTGACAATTGAACAAACTCATTAGGGCTTCTGGGAACTGGAGGCCCAAACTGTTCTAGGGCTGCAGTTGGAGGATGCCTGCTCCAAACCATTGGGGTATTTTTTCCTTAAATCAAGATCTTTAACTACTGCCAGTGAACCAACATCCCTCATTAGTCATTTATTTATTTATTTATTTATTTATTTATTTTATTTAAACTTATATGCCGCCACTCCCCTGGGGCTCGGAGCGGCTTACAAGAATAGCTAAAATCTAACAAAGTTTAAAAGCAATTTAAAACAATTTAAAAACAACAGTATCAAACATTAAAAGCCTGTCGGAACAGGTATGTCTTACATGCCCTGCGGAAAGCTGGTAAGTCCCGCAGGGCACGAACTTCAGGTGGCAGAGCATTCCAGACTGGTGCCACTGCTGTGAAGGCTCTGCGTCTGGTTGCTGTTAGACGCAAGGTCTTGACACTGGGGACTTCCAATAGATCTTGGTCCTCAGAACGGAGGGATCTCTGGGGTTGGTAGGGGTTGAGGCGGTCCCTCAGATACATCGGCCCCAGACCATGCAAGGCCTTAAAGGTGAGTACCATCACTTTGAAAGTGAGCCGGTGCTCAATTGGTAACCAATGCAGCTGTAGTAAGATTGGTGTTATGTGGCATCTCATCGGAATTCCCGCAAGAAGCCGAGCAGCTGCGTTTTGTACCAACTTGAGCTTCCGGATCACCGACAGAGGAAGGCCAATGTAGAGGGCGTTACAGTAGTCCAGTCTTGAGATGACCGTGGCCTGGCTCACCGTAGCTAGGTCGTCCCTGGACAGGTAGGGGGCCAGCCGTCTAGCCTGCCGCAGGTGAAAGAAGGCGGTTCTGCTCACGGCGGAGACCTGGGCCTCCATTTTCAGCAGAGGGTCCAAAAGGACTCCCAGACTCTTGACCAATGATGACGGGCGTAACGCCTCACCATCCAGGGTGGGCAGATGGATGTCCCCACTGCCCGATCCACCCAGCCATAGGATCTCCGTCTTTGCTGGATTCACCCTCAACCTGCTGGCACGCAGCCATCCAGTCACGGCCTCGAGGCACTGATGGAACAATCGGGTACAGAGTCCGGTCGGCCTTCCATCTTCAGCACCAGCTGAGTGTCATCGGCGTACTGATAACACACAAGCCCAAAACCTCGAACCAGCTGAGCAAGTGGTCGCATATAGATGTTAAACAACAGAGGGGAGAGAATGGCCCCCTGAGGAACCCCACAAGATAGAGGGGACCTCTCAGAGACCAGGCCTTCCCTCTCCACTCGCTGTCCACGGTTGTGAAGAAAGGAGGACAGCCAGTTTAAAGCTGTCCCCCTGATTCCAGCAACAGCAAGGCGGTGGGTCAAGAGATTGTGGTCGACTGTGTCAAATGCTGCTGTGAGATCCAATAGCACAAGCAGCGCTGACCCGCCCTGGTCAAGCTGGCATCGAAGGTGATCCGTGATGGAGACCAGCACAGTCTCTGTCCCGTGCCCCGCACGGAAGCCGGACTGGAAGGGATCTAGTCCGGCTGTGTCGTCTAGGAATTGCTGCAACTGCTCCGCTGCTGCCCTCTCAATCACCTTGCCCAGGAACGAGAGATTTGAAACTGGGCGGTAACTGGAGGGAACCGAGGGATCTAAATCTGGTTTCTTCAGCAAAGGAGAGACCACCGCCTCTTTTAAACCCTCTGGAAAGACTCCTTGCTCAAGGGAGCTGTTTATGATCTTCAACAGAGGGTCACGTAATCCCTCCAAGCAGGATTTCACCAACCAAGAGGGACACGGATCGAGGGAGCAAGTGGTCGGTCTAGCTGCAGCTATGAGCCTATCGACAGCCCCTGCATCCAGCGGGATGAACCGGTCGAGGATGGGCCCAGCAAGTGGCCACGGGGTCTCAAGTTCTCTCACTGTATCAATTGTGGCGGGGAGGTCCCGGCGAAGTAGCGAGATCTTGTCTGCAAAATAGCTCTGAAAAACCTCGGCTGAGGGGCCTGATCACCACTTTTTGGGACGGTAGGAACCGTCGTTAGAGATCGAATTATTTTGAACAATTTTGCCGGGCGTGAGCTAGCAGACGCTATCAAAGAAGCATAATATACTCGCTTTGCCTCAGTGATAGCATGCTCATAGGATTCCCTGAATGCCTCATAAGCTGATCTCGATGCTCCGTCACGGAGTTCTCGCCACACGCCCTCCAGCTGTCTCTTTTCCCGCTTCATCAGTCGAAGTTCCTCGGTGAACCAAGGAGACCGATTTCGGCGGGGTTTGAGAGGGCGTCTAGGGGCGATCTCGTCGAGTGCATTGGATAGCCTGATGTTCCATGTGTCCACCTGCACATCGATCGAGTCGCTGGCAGGCTCCAGATCCCTCAGAGCATTCCGGAACCTACTGGGTTCCATAAGTCTCCTTGGGCGAGCCCAAATTGGCTCGGCGCCCTTGCAGCGTGGGTAGGCATGCTCCAACCGGACTCTCAGGGCGCAGTGATCCGACCATGGAACCTCTATTGTGGAGGCTTGGGTCACTTGAATTCCTGTGCTGAAAATCAAATCTAACGTGTGCCCCGCCCGATGCGTGGGCCCAGTAGTACAGAGGGAGAGTCCTAGTGTCTCCATGGTAGACACTAGGTCCATAGCCGCTGATGAACAAGAGTCTGCATCAGCGTGGACGTTGAAATCCCCCAAGACGATAAGTCTGGGGAACCTCAGGGACCACTCCGACACAGTCTCAAGCAGCTGGGATAGGCTGTCCGCTGGTGCGCTGGGCGCACGGTACACCAGCAGAAAGGCTATGCTCTCACAGGAATCCCACACCAGGCCAACACTTTCAATGCCAGAGATGCTCAGCACAGGAACTGCCCTAAGAGAAAAACTTTCTCGGGCGAGCATAGCCACCCCACCCCCCCGCCTCCCAGTCCGCATCTGGTGAGTGATTGCATAACCTGGAGATGTTATTTCCTGGAGTAGGATCTCATCCCCCTCTTGGATCCAAGTTTCTGTAATACACACTAGGTCAGCTCCCTGATCATTAAGAAAGTCCCTGATGGTAGCAGTTTTGTTCCTTATGGACCTAGCATTCACTAACACCAGAGTAGGAGGGGAGGAAACTAGTTGCCTGTCACAGATGTACCTGGGGATAGGCCGCAGGTTAGAGGGGGGCCGAGTCTCCCGCCGACTCAACCTCCCTCTAGTATTCGGCCTGCGCCTACCGTCGTATCTCCCCCTCCCAGAGATCGTAGGAATCCCCATGCATAGACCTACTTCTCTTGGAGGCTCTGCAGCACAGATTAGGTGCCCAGTGTTTGACTGGCCATCTGAAAAGGAGATGGGGCATGGCCAATTAACAAGTGGTCATAAGTGGGGCCCTCAGAGTGGTGAGGAGCAGGTGTAAAGGCCAGAGCACCCGGCCAGCATTGTGGGTGGGGGGATAATCTAGAAGATGTCGGATCCAGATTCCCTTGAGAGTGCTGGAGTGGGTTCTTAACTCCCATAGACTGGGAAGACACTCTCTCTTTTATGCCCACAGTTCTTATATTTGAGTCCCAGGCTCTGGTTTCTTGGGGGTGTACTCTCTCCTCCATATTTACAGATCTGGAGCCACCTGGGGGAGCGTAGGCCAATTTGTGGGAGGGGGCAGTAGCTGTAGATCTTGTCCGGTTGCCAAATCCCACTCCCCAGAAGATTCTAGTTTTAAATTTCTTTTGATGACAGCCACGTCTCTGGGACCTACGTTTCAGAGGTCTGCCAGTTCCTATCGCTGTACATCTGTCCATGTCTGGGGCTTCCGGCCCTCCAGAGGCCACCGTCAGTCTGTCCTGGCCTGCAGTCAATCCAGTACTCTGCAAAGTGCCAGAAGCTCCCTCCGCCAGCAAAATAGTTTGCTCTGGCCTTTCATCAGAGATCCGGTGCATATCATGGTGGCGTTAACATCTCTGATCAAGAAAACCCGCGCGCCTGCGCCGGAACTTCTTGGGAGTTGGAGAGGAAGATAGAGGCTCACCAACAGTGGCCCCAAGATCAGTCGCCATCTTCGGAGCTTGCCTCTTTGATAGAGAGAGGCAGCGACGTCGCTGGGGGCTTCCACAAAAGGGGGACACCAAGGGAGAGACAGGCACCCGTCTAAGGATCTCTGTCACATCCAATGCCTCCACTTCAGGCAGAGAGGGCCAATCCTTTTCCTGATTGGTGGTCCCCGGAGCTCCCCGCCCAGACCAAGGGCATGGGTAGGACAGTCCGAGATCGAGAGGGCAAAAACCATCGAACAAGCAGCCATGAGAAGCAGACTCCAGAATCTCCCCCTTTGGCATCGAGGACGCATCCTGGCTCATCTCGGGACTCTCAAATGGCTCTCCATTTATCAGGGAAGCTCTTTGCAGAGTTAAGGGAGACTCCTTGGGATAGTCCCGGTTTTGATCCCAAGCTAGGTCTCTGGCATTTTCAGGGTCAGGGTCCAAAGACTCGCAGGTGGTCCTCCCTTGTGTGTAATCTAGGGGCTGAGCTAATGGATGATTCAGTCGGCAAAGCAGCCTCCCAAACTGATTAAGCCGATCAGCTAGGTGGTTGTATTCTGCGAACAGCAGGCTCACCAGTCTTGGGTCCAGTCTTGCACCCTCTTGGCCAGGTCCCTGATCGTCCAAACAATTTAAGCAGTCTGGCCCCTTCGGATTTTCCTCCTGGGGTTTGGTGCGGCTTACATGAGGCCGAGCCCACAATACAACAATAATAAAGCAATAGCAACAAACAATACAAAACAGTTAAAATATAACTCATAAGCAAAAATAAAAATAAGCAATACAGTAACACAACAAGCATTTAAAAACCTATGGCTGGGCCAAATGTAAAGTTAAAATTTAAAAATAATGCTGGGCATGAGCAAGGTAGGAGATAACTGGGATACAATTTTTTGGAGGGAATAGGGTGTGCAAATCAATCCTAAATCAATAATAAAGTGCATTTGAGGACATATTGCTGAGAGTTTCATTTATTCTGGAAAGGCACACTGGAACAACCATGTTTTCAGGCTCCTCCTAAAGATTGCCAGAGTTGGGGCATCCTGGATGTCCTTGGGAAGTGAATTACAGAGTCGAGGGGCCACCACCGAGAAGGCCCTCTCCCTCGTCCCCACCAATTGTGTCTGCGATGGAGGTGGGAGTGTGAGCAGGGCCTCTCCAGATGATCGAAGAGACCGTGTGGGTTCGTACACAGAAATGCGGTCACGCAGGTAGGCGGGTCCCAAACCATTCAGGGCTTTGTAGGTAAGAACCTGCACCTTGAATTGGGACCAGAAAATGGAACTCCTTAAGCAGGAGGGTTAACCGCTCACTGTAAGGAGCACAGTTAACAACCTGGCCACCGCCCGTTGGACCAACTGAAATTTCCGGGCCGTTTTCAAGGGCATCCCCATGTAGAGTGCATTACAGTAATCCAATCTGGAGGTGACTAAGGCATGGACCACCCTGGCCAGATCCGCCTTCACGAGGTACGGTCGCAGTTGGCGCACGAGTCTTAATTGTGCAAAGGCCCTCCTGGCCACCGCCAACGCCTGAGCTTCAAGCATAAGTGATGAGTCCAGGAGGATACCCAGACTGCGGACCTGTGACTTCAGGGGGAGTGCAACCCCGTCCAACACAGGTTGCCACCCTATACCCCAATCTGGTTTGCGATCGACCAGGAGGACCTCTGTCTTGTCGGGATTGATCTTCAGCTTGTTCCTCTTCATCCAGACAGTCACAGCAGCCAGGCACTCGTCCAGTGCCCGAGTTGGAGTTAGGTGGAAAAGAGTAGTAGAGTTGCGTGTCATCTGCGTAGAGATGGCACCCAACTCTAAAACTCCGGATGACCTCTCCTAGTGGTTTCATGTAGATGTTGAAAAACATGGGGGACAGAATGGAACCTTGCAGGACCCCACAGGTTAAAGGCAAGGCATCTGAACAGGTGTCTCCCAGCTTCACCATCTGGGAACGACCCTCTAGGAAGGACCGGAGCCACGACAAAGCCGTGCCTCCAAGGCCCATCCCGGAGTCGTCCCAGAAGAATACCATGATCGATGGTATCGAAAGCCGCTGAGATGTCCAAGAGAACTAACAGGGTCACACTCCCCCTGTCCAGCTCCCTACGGAGATCATCCACCAAGGCGACCAAAGCTGTCTTGGTGCCGTGACTAGTCTGAAGCCAGACTGTGATTGGTCCAGATAGTTGATATCATCCAGTGACCACCCACTCCAGCACCTTGCGCAAAAAAGGGAGGTTGGAGATTGGTCTGTAATTGCTCAAAACCGTGGAGACAAGGGAGGTCTTTTTCAGGAGTGGTCTGACCATAGCCTGTTTCAGCCCAGATGGAAAAATCCCTTGCTCCAACGATGTATTAATGATCAACACAAACCAATCGACCAAACCACCTCTGGCCGATTTGATTAGCCAGGACGGGCAGGGTCCAGAGCCGACGTGGTCGCCCTCACAGCCCCAAGGACCTCCTCCACGTCCTCAGGAAGAACAAGCCGGAAAGAATCCCAGAAAACTGGACAAGCAGATGCCTTGGTCACCTCCCAGGTACTGTGTTTAAACTGGTGTCCAACTCAAGGCGTATCTGAGCAACTTTATCTGCAAAGTGGTGTGCAAACTCGCAGCACCGAGTTGTTGGGTCGTCAAAGGCCTCCTCCACCTCAGGGGGGTGAAGGAGTTCCCCAACAACCCGAAACAACTCCGAAGATCTATTAGATGCAGACGCTATGCGGTCGGTCGTAAAGGTCTCCCTGGCTACCCGTATAGCAGTGGAATAGGCCTTAAGTGAGGCTCTAGCCCATGTTCGGTCAGAGGCACCTTGAGATTTCCTCCATTTGCACTCTAGCCTCCTTCTCGTGCGCTTCATCACAGCCAACTCCTCAGTGAACCAAGGAGATGGTGTGTCTCTACGCAACGAGATGGGGCGTTTGGGAGCGATCATGTTTATCACCCTGGCCATCTCACTATTGTAGTGATCAACCAGGGTGTCGACAGGATCGCCAGGCTCCATGACAGAAAGAGCCCCAAGATTCCTCAGGAATCCGTCCGGATCCATCAGTCTCCTGGGGCAGACCATCTTAATTGGTCCTCCACCCTTGCGAAGGTTAGAGGTCACAGCAAGTCTAAAACTAATCAGATGATGGTCAGACCAGGACAATGGGAGAATATTTTGCTCTTCCACTCTGATCGTTCCACTAGGTCGAGTGTATGGCAGAGCCCCATGGTCGTCATGGCGACCATGAAATCCAATCTATCCTGCAGTGTTTCTTTCTTTTGTGGTCAGCTGTGGAATCCATGATATAACATACTGTAGGTATGTGAATGTTACTGAAAGAAAAAGAAGAGGAAGAAAAAGAAAAAGTGGAGGAGGAAAAAGAATGAGGAGAAGGAATAATTGTTGTTAGTGTGTCTATATTCCTGGGAAAAAGAAGGCAGAGAAGGAAGGGAGGCTTGATTACAACATGCTAGTTATTTCAAATGAATAAGCTATACTAGTTCTTACAGTCCAGTACTAGGAATGGGAGATACAACTGGCCTCCCTTACAGGGTTGTGCTAAGGACCTCAAGATAACATATGTGAAGTGCTTTATACGTTCTTAAATGCTGTGCAAAGTTCCATTTAAATGCTAAGAGATAATTATGGCACTCTTTTTGTGCATCTTAATAGATACAAATGAGCAAGTTTCCAGTAAAGCATTATTCATTCATTTAACCATGGGGCATATGGGTCTCATGAAAATCAGTCCAAGGTATTTGATAGCCCTTAAATGTTCAGACTGTCAGTGCTAGTCAATTCTCCCAGTAAAGACAGTTACCTATTGTTGGTGGATCCTCTGATGTTGCTGGTAGCATTTCAGTAAGTGACAGTGACAAAAATGTAACTTCTAGGATCAAGGTCATTTTGAATGCAACCTTTTCTCCAGGACTGGAAAAAGCATAAGAAATTACCATGTCCAGTAAAAAGAGAGTAAACATTGGAATGATCAGCACTAATACATAGAAAATGGATCGCCTTGACATAGTTATCTGTCCAAAAAGAGAGGAAGAAAAATATAAAAATAACATATTTCAATGTAGAACATTTCCAATACATCTCTATAAGGCACAGAAAACCTGCCAAGTTACAAACAAGCAACACAGATCCAAGTTGTAAGGGGAAATTAACATTTTTCGTAGAATCATAGAATCCTAGAGTTGGAAGAGACCTCATGGGCCATCCAGTCCAACCCCCTGCCAAGAAGCAGGAAGATTGCATTCAAAGCACCCCTGACAGATGGCCATCCAGCCTCTGCTTAAAAGCCTCCAAAGGAGGAGTCTCCACTACACTCCAGGGCATGGTGTGGGCAGCAAAACTTACCCAAGTAGTTTTGCCACCTGGGTGAATATGCAAAATGTCTGGAAGTTTGAAAGTTGGGGGAGGGGGTCATGCATGCGTGTGTGTGTGGAAGGGGTCAGTAGGAAAGACAATATTGGAAAAACCGAAAACTGGTTTTTTTTACTTGTATTTTCCAGTATGAAGATCTTTTTACAAATGTCAAATGTGTAGTATTTAGCTTAAAATCAGTGGGGTTGTTATTTTAAAATGTTTATTCGAATAATAATTATACTTTTAATTACATTTTAATTGTTATGTTTTTGTTACAAACAGAGCTTCATGGTTCTAAAGCAGGGGCCCTCAAACTTTTTAAACAGAGGGCCAGGTCACAATCCCTCAAACTGTTGAAGGGCCGGATTATAATTTGAAAAAAACATGAATGAATTCCTATGCACACTACACATACCTTATTTGTAGTGCAAAAGACACTGAAAAACGATACAATAATTAAAATGAAGAACAATTTTAACAAATATATAGACTTATTAGTATTTCAGTGAGAAATGTGGGCCTACTTTTGGCTGATGAGATAGGGTTGTTGTTGTTGTGTGCTTTCAAGTCATTCCAGACTTAGGTTGATCCTGAGCGAGGGCCAGGTAAATGACCTTGGAGGGCTGCATCCGGCCCCCGGGCCTTAGTTTGAGGACCCCTGTTCTAAATCATAAGGGACAATGAATTGTAAAGAACCTCTTTGGATTTGCCAGTTTTGGGGGAGCAGGAAAAAAAACAAGAAATCATTGAATAAAATTATTTTTGTCTCTTCTAGTCATCATAGTGCAAACAGACATTAACTTTCATTCTCTCAAGAAGAAGTGAGAAAAGGAAACTTAAGATCAAGCAGAAGAAGAGAAATGGAGAGGTTATATGTTCTTGTCCAGGAAGAATGGATCATACATCCAAATGGAAGATCTTCATCATAAAACATGATCAAAATGCAAAAGTAGAAAACAGAGCAAAGTTGCTGGAGGATTTGGCCTAATATCTAGAATTGTATTTGAGGGTGCACTGATTGTGTTTTCCTACATGACAGGGGAGTGGACTGGGTGGCTCTTGTGATCTGTTCCAATTCTTTGATTCTGTTTCATTCTTCAAGTAACCCAATGACTATATAAGAAGTGGATGTCACTAGATTTCAATAGAGAAATAAAATATCAAATGTAGGAGAAGCAACACAAAAAAACCTCTGCCCCCCAAAAAAGACCATGAGCAGATGGTGGMACAGACCAGGAACTGTTAATACCAAAAATTAGAGCAAAGCTAAAGAACATTAATTCAATTTATTGGTTTATTTGATTTCTATCTGACTTYTGTCATGAATCGGACTCTGTCAATCATAGTATTCCAATACAATGTTAGGAATGCCCCTGAAAAATCTATATTAATTAAAAACAGATTTGCACTACTATTATCGATCATGAACCAGAAGAACTRTGGAACAAACCAGGGATGTTGTGAAATAAAAACTTTGATGGAGATAGATGAACCATTCAAATAGTTATTCACAGACAATGTGGATCATTCTAAAAGAAATGGGATTACTTTAATAKCTACGTGTTCTGATATACAAGCTATATTATGGAAAAGGGGCCACTATCAGAGCAGAATGGTTTCTAATGGGGAAGGAGAGTTTTGTACCACACACTTTGCATTGATCGATGACTGAAACAAGATACAGAGAATCTTTAAATTATTTTGTATCTTGGTCCTCAGTTTTAAATGCCTGTAGCTCTTCCATGGTCATTATATTTGACTTTATCTGCACTTCTGGTTTCCTTTATTTACTTTATTTAAACTACTAATCTATTTATCGCTGGTCCTTGCCTAAGAATCCCTATGACACTCCTGGGGCTGCCATAAGTCAACAGGCAGCTTAATAATTGCATATGCACACACAGACCTCATAAATGACCGCACTGCAGTTCAGTGAACCATAAGATATATTACGATGAATGGTCCTCAGCTCTTCAAACTTCCATTCCCCATTAGTCATGTAATATTTGTGACTATCTTGATTGGCTGCCTTGGAAGATTTAACACTCTTCAATAAAATGTTCTCATCTAGAGATAAGAGAAAACAAATGGCACGGAGTTGCCACTTCAAGACAATTTAGTCGAATTGTGCTTCCATGAGGACAACTTTCTTAATCACGGTAAAAAGGCACTGTGCAACTATTCTGTCTCCCCCCCCCCCCTTGATAGATTTTATCTTGGAAGAAACAAAGCAAAACAAAAGAGATAACGAGAAAAGCAACCAGTTGAAGGTGTCACTGTCTGTTTTTCTCAAAAACTTCCAAGAACGAGGCAAATGTAGAACTGCACAGTATACACCTCAATCAGTGTCTTGTTGGTGACTTATGTTGGTGGAAACTCAAGTTATGCCATCATAAGTACATTGGGAAACTGAAAAAGAAGATACACAGTATCCTAGCGAGCTCCATTATGACCCCCGCCCTGTCCTCCATTTGGTTGTCATTGCCCAGCTGAAATGGAAACACCAGACATTGCCGTTCGGAACAAGGCTTCTCTTTCACATCCATCTACATGACATTGATGAAGTCAATGGTCAGGTTCAGCTGCATGACCAGTCTATGACCAGAGGGGCAGAGCTGTGCCTTAGGGGTCTTTTCCTACTCTTGCACAGAAGAAAAGGCTATCATCAACTTTTGGTCATGAGCCCATAAAAAGCATGGAATCTGTATTGCTGAGTTGGAATAGCTATCTATTCAATGTTCTATGTAGAATTTCTATACTCAGAAGATGGAAAGAGTAGTTCATGTGCCAATAACCTCAAAGTTGGATTTCTACAATACATTGTACATTGGTCTACCTTTGTACCAAGTTTGGAAACTCCAGCTAGTTCAAAATATGGTAGCCATATTGGTTATGGATACATCTAGGAATGAGCATGTCACACCTATATTAAACCCATCCCACTGGATGCCAATTAGTCTCTGAGCAAAATACAAAGTATTGGTTTAGACTTTTAAAGGCCTACATGATTTGGGTCCAGGTTACCTGGAGGGTGGCATTCTCCCATACAATCTGCCCCATATACTCAGGTCCCCTAGGGATGTTTGTTTGTTTGTTTGTTTATTTATTTATTTACTTACTTTATTTCTATACCGCTTTTCTCAGCCCTCAGGCGACTCAAAGCAGTGAACAACATCAGTACACAATATCACAAAACAAGTATAGGGCAATTAAAAACAATTATCACATAAATCATTAACATCAGTATAACAATCATTAGCGCCTCAACAGTAAAATCAGTACCCAGTCTCGTCATCCATTAGTCCGTATTCCTATGTTCAATTACACTGTTTAATCAAATGCTTGTTCGAACAGCGAGGTCTTCACTTTCCTCCGAAACGCCAGCAGGGAGGGGGCCAACCTGATTTCTGCAGGCAGGGCGTTCCACAGCCGAGGGGCCACCACTGAGAAGGCCCTGTCTCTCGTCCCCGCCAAGCGTGCCTGTGATGCAGGCGGGACCGAGAGCAGGGCCTCCCCAGATGATCTTAGTGTCCTAGTCGGTTCATAGGAGGATATGCGTTCGGAGAGGTAAGTAGGGCCAGAACCGTTTAAGGCTTTATAGGCTAAAGCCAGCACTTTGAATTGTGCCCGGTAGCAAACTGGTAGCCATGTTTACTTCAACCAGCCAGAATTAGACTGGCAAGTGTCTTCCAGAGGACCTTTGCTTCTGTCGCCCCTAGACTGTGGAATGACCTGCCAGAAGAGCTGCAACAACTAAATGAATTGTGAAAATGTTAATCAGAGTTATAGTCCTATCTCTTCTGGCAGGCCTACCCAGTGGATGTTAGACTTTGAATTTAAAATGGAATTTTATTAACATGGATGTTTTAAATGTGTGCTTAATATTATGTCTCAGTTCTTTGGCATATGTGTTCTAATGATTTTATTGTTTTTATGTATGTATTTCTACTATGTTGTACCCTGCCTCGAGCTTTGAGGAGAGGTGGGTACGAAATAATACTCATCATCACCATCATCACCGCCATCACCAGCATAATAATCATAACCATAATCATGTAATGGTTTCTTCTTTGTTCCATGTCGCTTAGCATGCAAACAAAACCATTACAGGAGATCACATGAAGTGAGGTGGCAATGATACATTGAGTGGTGGTGGTGAATGAAGGCCAAAAAGCTCTTCAGGAAACAACTCAGTTTTTGAGGACATTGAATTGGGAAGCAAGAGCATTGCAGAGCAGATGTGCAAGGAAAAATAGCAGTAAATGAAGAAAGAGATGTGGGTAAAACACACACAGGGAATCATGGAAGCAATAAGAAAGAGACTTGAGGCAAAGGTAAAAAAGAGGCAGAAAATTGGAAAATACTGATAATGATGCTGCTGCTGCTGCTGCTGCTAATAATAATAATAATAATAATAATAATAATAATAATAACTTATTAGTATTATTTAGTTATATATCAATTTTATCTGTAAAATAGACTTGCAAAAGTGAACAATATACTAAACAATACAATATACAAATTAAAACCTAAAGACTATAAACATTCAAATAGAATTAAACCTAGTACTATTTTAAAATGAATAATAAAAAATTAATAGCATTTAAACAAATTTAATTTATTTATTTATTTGGGGTTCTTTTACCCCGCCCTTCTCACCCCGAAGGGGACTCAGGGCGGCTTACAGAAGCAAGGCATGATTCGATGCCTGCAGTACAAAACAATCAAGACACAAAGTTAAACAATTACACAATTACATCACACTAATTCATATATCAATAAAATCAATAAAATCAATAAAACCCAATACAAACCCAGTTCCTCTCTTACAAGGTCAGCGATTGCTAACTCATAGTTCTAGTTTTCCATTCCACTTCATCAGTCGTGTTGATCTTATTCACCTGATTGTCTTTTAATTGCCTGATTGCCCAAAGGCCTGGTCCCACAACCACGTCTTCACCCTCCTCCTGAAGGAGAGGAGGGATGATGATGCCCTGATTTCCCCCGGGAGTGAGTTCCACAGGTGAGGGGCTACCACTGAGAAAGCCCTGCCCCTCGTCCCCACCAGCCTCACTTGTGAGGGTGGTGGGGTCGAGAGCAGGGCCTCCCCAGATGATCTTAGATTTCGGGGTTGGACGTAGAGGGAGATACGTTCGGACAGATACACTGGACCGGAACCGTACAGGGTTTTGTAGGTCAAAACCAGCACCTTGAATTGTGCTCGGAACTGAACCGGCAGCCAGTGGAGCTGACATAACAGGGGGGTGGTATGCATACATTAAAATACATAAAATGCCACACAACACCCTATGACCCAGTTTTAACACTTTTTTCTTTAATGAAAAGATTTTAGCCTGGTGCTGTAAGGACAGCAGGGAGAGCCCCATTCTGGTTTCCTTATGCAAGGAGTTCCAGAGTCTCAATGCACAGCCTGGGAATGTGCATTGAAAAAGTACATGTATGACAGGAGAAAGACAGTTGTGTTACCTGGATATGCTGAAGCTGTAATTGTTAAGTTGCATTTTTGTTTGTCAAAAGGAAATGCACGGACATCTAGGTTGCAGGTGGAAGTAAGCCGATATGATAGAGCGAAAAGAAAATGTCCCGAGGAATTGATGCTGACAAAAGAACTGGCTGTGTACTTGTTTTCATCAGCTCTAAAGACATAGTACAATCATTAGGAAATAATGTTATTTTCAACATAATAGATAACTGATTACATTAAGCTTCCATGTGGAAGAGGGGAAAACAACTACCGTACTCATTAAGGATTGGAGAAGAAAATTAGTCAAGTATATTCAAATGACCAAGTTCTCCAATGGCATAAGGGGAGAAAACAATCACACTTTTCCAGAAACAGGAACAAGTTGAATGCTCTCAGGCTCTCTTAACAATGTGCCATGGAAACCAGGAGGACTTTTTCAACTAACTGATCACACAGGATGAAAGCTGGGTTCATCACTATGAGCCTGAGACTAAAGTCCAGTCAATGCAATGGAAACATCATGACTCACCGCCTCAAAAGAAGGCATGTGTCCAACTCTTGGCAGGCAAGGTCATGCTCACAGTATTTTAGGACCTGCATGAAGTAGTATTGATGGATTTCCTAACAAAGGATACCATGATTACTTGGACATACCGTGCTTTATTGCTGCAGAAATTGCAGGAGGCCATCAAAACCAAGAGACGTGGCAATCTCACCAAAGGTGTCCACCTTCTGCAAGGCAATGCACCAGTTCACAACTCACGTGTTGCCCAAATGGAAGCACGCTCCTGTGGCTTTGAAATTCTATGACATCCCCCTTATTCACCAGACCTTGCATCATCGGACTTCCACCTCTTTCCAACAATGAAGCTATTGTTGAAGGGCAAGCATTTTTCAGATGATGAGTCTCTGATTTCCAAACTCACAACATGGCTTTTGGAGCAACCTGTCGACTTCTACAGGCGAGGTGTTGCTTAAAAAGATGGGGGAAGTGTGTGTCCCTAGGTGGCATCTATGTAGAGAAGGACTAATAACTGTTCCAAGTTTCTTTGCTCTCAGTTGACAAGAAGTGGGTCAGGAGAAATATTTAATGAATGCCCCTCGTAGTTCCATATTGTGTGGTGTCGAAAGTCACAGGTGGGAATTGGGGCACCGGAGGGGGGGGGGGGGGGTAGTTGGAGAAATAATATTTGCATTTTGTGTGTTGAATTTTGTAGATTATATGCTATTTTCACATAATACAATAAAATTATACAAATGAAAGTAAAACATTACTTTTGCAAGATCGCCTTCACAAGCTCACATTCCCTTTTTATGGCTATGTGGAGGAGAGCATGCTCTGATAACACAAAAACATAGAATCATAGAATCATAGAGTTGGAAGAGACCACTTGGGCCATCCAGTCCAACCCCCTGCCAAGAAGTAGGAATATTGCATTCAAAGCACCCCTGACAGATGGCCATCCAGCCTCTGTTTAAAAGCTTCCAAAGAAGGAGCCTCCACCACTCTCCAGGGCAGAGAGTTCCACTGCTGAACGGCTCTCACAGTCAGGAAATTCTTCCTCATGTTCAGATGGAATCT